ACAACTCCTGGAGGCGGAAGGGACCACGATACACAATAAATAAATTTCCCCCCACGCTTCGGGGGAGACTGCAATAAAATTACGCACGACGCTCTTGGTGCGTGAGTGTTACACCCTTGATTAATACTACAATAACCGTAAAATTTATGCTCCGGTCGCTCCGGCACAAGTTGCCACCCAAGCCACCGGAAATTAAATAAAATTGCAGTCATTTCGTCATTTATTCAGATTGTTCCCAATGAAGACACCAAAAAGCTTTTTTCGCGACTCAAATAGCACCTTTAGACATTAGATTTTCATGGCTCTCCACAGTATTTTCACCCCTTTCTCAGGACATTGGCCACAAAAGTTCCTGTTTGTTCTTTAAACACATTGATTTTTCAAAGGCACAAATCTCTCATAATATCTGGAATCCTATCTATGCGCAGCATCAAGTTAACAGCCTCCACTCTGTGATTTCTTTATGTGCGAAATTTTAAAGGAGCATTTAAGCGGGAAATGATTGCGATTTCACTATCAGCCGCCCTCATCTCGGTTTTACTACACTACCATAAACATAATGAAATTATTGTAACGATTATTTTGTCATCTGCAGTTATACTTAATTGATATTGTTTTTATGGGTTAGTATTGTAATTTGTTGTCAGACTCTCTCGGCAATTTCCTCTCCTTCACCCTCCAGCTTCGGCACCCAGATAGCATCTGTTGGTTTCAAAGATGTCATAATTCGAAATACACATCGCGTTGCAAACTTTTTAATAATAAAAATTCAGCATTATGCTTTTTTGTGACGCGCGTTCTCTTCCTTCTTTGTAAATTTTATGCCTCCGGCAGGAAAGTTTTCACTGCTTTCTCATCGTTTAACTTCTTTTGCGCGCACTTCTTTTTTTTCTCACTGTGCAACCCATTTCCTGGGCTGCGCTGTGCTTGGCAAAGCATCACCCGAAGTGGAAGAACAAGAAGCCATGAGAGAATGACTTCATTTGCCAGAAAGTAAAGCTATGAATTTTCATGGGGGAGTATAATCAACCCTTTCGGGCGCGCTGTGGGTGAAAAAAGCGTGGATACTAATGTGGAGTGTTTTATGCAAATATTTGTACCACCCTTGAGATGATTTCGGGATAAGTGACTGAAGGTGGGAAGTATCTAAGTTGCTATCTCTACAGGGATCCCTTAATTGAGTCAGAAGAGGCACAGCCCGAAAAAAGAAGTGGCGCCCAATTCACTCTCCACAGCCTGACTTCCGCATTCCTCGAATCCCGCCCTCGCACTTTTCCCGCCGCCACCGACACGACAACCCCTCGCAATTCAACTCACTCGGAATTTATTGGGCGATGAAAAAAGTATGACATCGCATATAGTTTGGCTGGTTTATTAGCGTAGGTGCGCCATGGTAGTCCGCAGTACAATTTATCACAGCACCCGAGGAATGCTTCCCTGAATTGTTACAAATGGATTAACTTTTGGCACTAATTCCGTTTTAAAACATTTATGACGCAACGATAAAAACACTTAATTGTGCATGATTGTGAACGAGGCACGTTTGCAGGTGGAATTTATCATAAATTCCACGTGGTAAACAACAATTTACGAGAAATTGCTTTCTAATTCCTTCCTGGGGTCGGATTTCGGGGAGAGCAGTAATAAATTACATTTGAATAAAGTTGCATCTGATTTCATGAAAATTGTAAATTCTGCATTTGCACAGATTCGCGCACAGTGCCAATTGAAGTTGAAACTGCAAATTCTCTGCGGACGCTGCAGGGGTTTAGTGAGCATTCTAAATTTGTTAAATAATAGTTTGAAAGTTTGCAATGAAATGTATAACATTTGCTGTATACATAGTATAAATAATTGGTTTGAAATATTGATATTATAGGCATTTTAGTAGTGTGAATTTGAGTTTGCTACTCTTGATTAGGATGCTAAATTCTGCGTGAATTGCAAAACATCCCGAGTTAAAACATATTCTCTAATTTTTCAGACTGGCAAAGCCCAGTCTTGTGAATATTTTTGTATACGCAATGTTGCCTATTTGCTAATTTCTGTTACTCATCGCCTCAATTCATGCTATAATGCTGACGCATAAAGAATACAAGCATTCTGTCTCGTAAGTTAATTCAACCAACCATTCAACTAAGGACTGCAATGACTATCATCCGAAAATAGGATGAAATTACAGCGCTCGTGTTTAAATCTCGACGGAATGGATTTAAGCATCGGCAGATTTGAGATTTAGCTGATGCTGTAATAGGAGCGAATTGTATTCCCAGCTAATCCCACTTGATTCTGGAGGCAAGTCACAGTCTTGAGTTTTTTGGGTTATATACCATTTAATTAGTGTGTTGTTTGCTGGTACAGCCCCAGACCAACTCACTCGCCCTGAAAAACACCCAAATTTCAATGCGGTGAAATTGTTGTGAATGTAAGGATTTCATTTTAATACTTTCCACTCGTCCTTTTTCCATACCCATTTTCATGCCCGGGGAAAATCCGTTTTAATTTGAGGATGGGCGCTCTGGGACGAATACAGATGAGTGTGTCCGTATTTAGACACTGTTAAATCGCATTAAAAGAAGACGAATGGCATCGGAGATGTAACATGACTTTATGCACACACACACACACACACTCCACTCATCGGTTAAGAATGTGTCTCCCCATTCATCGGCACACCACAAGGAGCTTTTCTGGGTCACAATATTAATTTGGAGGACTCGTGAGGCGCCCGTAAAAGTGGCACAGTTGGAAGAATTGAGCCCCAGCAGCCGACAAGATGCCCTTCTGCAGAGAAAGAGTTCACCCCGCATTAAGGCGTGGGCCCCGAGCCCATCCAACTTTCTGGACGAGTAAACTCTTCGTGCCTCATTTAATTTTCAGTGAAATTATCATTTACAAATCAGCTTAACCTTCTGCAGAAACACCCATAGTATTGGACTCGTCGAGAGCTCAGACGGTGTGTGTGTGTCCTTTTCAAGGAGCAGCACCATGTTTTGTGCTTCGGCAAAGTTGTTTTGTGTCACTGAATTATCACATTGAGAATCAAATTAGCAAAGTTCTGTGTGACCAACTACTGGGGACATGGTGTTCTTATCAGTCCACTCCCTCACTTCATTAGTTTCCGCTTTCACAAAGTTAAATTTCACTGCCAGGGAGATCCTTTTTCCCAGATGATTAGCAACATGCGGAGGGCAACATTTTCGCCATGACACATCTCTCTGCTGGCAATATCGTGAAAATTTGTACACAAAACTTTCGAGAATTTTTGGCCTGTCCCAGTGGACAATTATGTGTGATGACCTTACAAGCAATCCACCAGGCCATTATCATCTCCTGTGGCCTCCGAGATGCCACGATAAGAGGGATGTTCCTTGGTATATTTTCCACGTACGCACAGCAATATTTTGCCGACTGCTCCCACCCCTCGTATCGCACTGGGCATCACTTCTATTGAGTTACCACCATTTTTCTGCAGGGGTGTGTGCGTGTCACTGGAACCGTCCGTTATCCAGCCTCGTCATCGCTGGGGGAGCTTTTTCCCGTCTCTTTAGAAATATTGTTTTTTTTCCTGTATTGCAAAGAAATGCCATGTTCTGGCTTTTTGTGGTTTCACAGGGAATTTCTTGTCTATGCTTCATAACTTGTCCCTTTGCGGATTACTCACACCACCAACTGAAGGGCTGTGCTTGTCATAGTTATTCCCGTTGAATTCACTACATTTTTAAATTAAACAACGTCTAAGGAGAAGTCCCTAAAATGCTGGTATTAAGAACTAAGAATCGTAATGTTCACCTTTGTTCTTAAAATTGAAGCAGAGCTGTAAAGTATTTGCACAGGACATGGAGAATTAAGTAAATTTTACCACTAATGACTATCATTCTTATGAGCACAATGGCGAATTAATTGTCGCTGCTGAAGAAGCTGGGAAATGTTGAAATCCCAGAACAGAAAAGTCACATTGTCATCCTGAAGAGAGGAAGTGTGAGAGAGAGAGGGGTAAATGGAATTTTGTCGTGAGTTTGGCGCAATGGAAGAGCTCAAATCTTGGGGTGGAGAATAAGCTGAAATTTGCCAGTGAGAGAGAAACGATATCCCATTCCTTATTCAGTGAAATCGCTGTCTCCAATTCGCGACATAATGCACATTGTATCGTCATGGTGCTTGAATAAAACATCCCCCGAAGCACTTTAATCTTCCCGCATCTCCAAGGCTGATGCCTCGCCGTCTAAAGCTCCCACGGTGTTGTTTTAGAGGGACATGGCCAAGTTCTCTGTCTCGTGCATTTGTATTTTATCCGATTTTGATTTCATTGCATTTTATTTTATGGCTTAGCTCCATGTGGGCGTTGCCATGTTTATGCTGCTCTCGAGGCTTCAGCACACGCAATTCCTTTTATTTCCCCCTTCATCATCATCATCTTTATTGTGCTTTTGACTGAAGCTCTGGGGTTTGGAATGTGTGGTAAAGACTTTGTTTACTCCCAAAGCCCATCAGCGCACACAGAAAAGTCTCGGCATTTGCCACTGACTCTGTTTACTCTTTTATTCTCACCAATGCCTTCGTCTTTGATCATCATGCCTGCACAAAGTGCAGTTCAGATATATTATGAAATGGCTATCACTTGAAAGCTTTTAGCCGCAGCCTTAAAATCAATAGGAAGTGTTGAATGGGTCTTTCGTTATTTTACGCTCTTCTTGGCTGTTCTACAAAGTTATCATTCATGATGAACTAGCTGAAAAAAGTTTGTTAGGCGAAAGAACACGATGTCTCTGTGATTTTCGCATAACAAAAGCGTGTTTTCGCGTCTTATTAGTCTAGACGCAATATACTTTATTGACTGCTCAATAAAATCTTTCATTCACTCGCACATCTGTCATAATTGTCGTTATTATCCATCCTGCCAGATTGCTATTGTAATGCCAATCGATTTCATGCGCGACAGACTGCAAATGTGGCAAATGAAATTTCGCCTATCACTAAGTTTTTCTTGTCTCTTTCAGACTCCAACGACAGTCTTCGGTTGACAGAAGTCCGGATACCAAACCACATAGTTAGAGACAACCCAGCCAGACTCGAGTGCCACTACGATCTGGACGGCGAAGCTCTGTACTCGGTCAAGTGGTACAAAGATGGCAATGAATTCTACAGATATGTTCCGAGAAATATGCCGCCAGCCCACGTATTCCAACTGCCAGGAATTTCCATAGATGTAAGTACCGATTAAGCCAAAGATCGATCTTCCTCTACGTCGCAATGCATCTCAAGTTATTTGATGATAACATAACACATTATCAGAGTGTCGTGTTTTCTTTCAAATTGCGCACTTTACCAATCGAGGCCTCTCTGCCTAAATTGTCGGCATATTCAAACGCAGGTTCAATAGAATTGCGCGAGGAGCGGAAGGCGCGCTACATTAAAGCCGTGTGATATTGAAGGTTGCCGCGTACGAAGTAATAAAAGAACATGAGAACGTGCATAGAAAATCTGCCTTTTGGTGCTTCACCCCATTTCGGCGGGCTGCCAAGGGATGGGAGCACACAAGGAATGCCCTAAAAGTATTTTTTAATGCATACCGCCTGGTAGAGCGCAAAATATGAAGGAGTAATCTGCCTTGAGTGGCTATTATGAAGATTTGCGACTGTCATTTCCGCAGTGCGTGGCTGCCTCTTGGCAAACACTCTCGACTCCCCGTTTGGCGGCAGAGGCGCCAACCGCAAGTGTGCTCCATCGGAGGAAATTTTCGGGAAGACACTCAGCGCCGCATGTGAAGCAACAAGGGTTGGGGGCGAACCTCCCCAACATGTTGATGCCATGTTCCAAGGGGAGAAAAAATGGTCGGGCAGCGTCTCAAGAGGCGGTCGGAGAAATGGAAAGTGTGCGGACGGAATGATGACAATGACGGCAGAAGTGGGATGATGATATGCTGGACTGAAATGGAACTGAACAGATATGCGGCCACTTAATTTCAACTTAGCCGTCGCTTGTGAAGTGTGGATCGCAGTCGGAAAAGTCCGCACATGAAGAATCATTGTGGCCCGTGGGAAAACCCCAAAATAGTCACTTGGTCCCAATGGGAATTTTGCTAGTGGAATACAAATTGGATTTCATCTCCATCGTCAAAATCGCTCTATTCACTTTAGAATATGCGATGTGTTTGCCGCCCAAGAGCTCGAAAGCACAATGGCCCACACAATTGCCTTGTTCTTTCACCTACAGACATTTCGCATAGTTCTCTCCACCCATAAAAGAGTCACTTGAAAATGAGTTTGGGATGAATTTTCAACAAGGCTAACGGCAAGGCCGCACAATGCCCAGTTCAATACATTATTTTCCGCTCTAACAATGTCCCAACTATTCCACAATTCCAGGTATAGTCTCGATAAAAATGCATATATATTTTGATTAGGTCCAGGAGTCAGAAGTTGACGTTGGAATTTCAAATGTTCAGGAGGTGTGTCTAGAAATTTCCGGACTCTGCAATTACTTGTTATGCGCGACTGTAAAAATATGACGAAAATCAACTGGGTTAAACTAACATTTACAATGAATTTTTCATGCAGTTGAGCATCTTGTTAAAGCAAACTGACGATATTATTCAGAAGAAAATGCAAAGTTATGTAGCAAGGAAAGCAGGAAAGTTTCCTATCAATTTTTTATTCACATAATATTCCTGTTTTTCCTCACATACGCACACTTCCCCTTATTTTATTATAAATGTCTTATAGCTTTCCCATTCCCATGCACAAGTTTCTATCACAGCCACCCCAGAATTATGGGGTGGAAAGGGGATAATGCTAGAGCTGTGTGGGGGTGAATTTTGGATGGGGCGAGAAAATTTATTGTTTCGCAGAAAAAGGCGTGAATTCATCACAAAAGGAGAGTCACTGGGAGGCAAAAAACAGACGCGCTAGAGTGGGAGGTCTTGTGTGAAAAATGGCAAAAAGCATTATAAATGAGAGCAAGAGGAAAGAGCATCCATGGGAAAGAAGGTGGGAATCAAATCAAAAGAGCAAAACACCATCGAAACCACTTTACTCAACAATTTATAGAAAGGGATAAAGTGTAAGTAATGCCCGTATCTGTGGCGCTATCCTTTCCCATTTCTTCCGATTCTCCGCGACTTGAGGGTGAGAATAAATGTGTAAAATCGCTGTTTTTACCTGCCACACACTCTGCCCCATTCACTTTTTGCAGCTGGATCAAATTAAATTAAGTGCTACTGTCGTGAATTTCTCTGAACGGATTCAATTAAGGGTTTTTCTACCACTATGTTCAATACTCTTTTCGGGAGAGATGAAAGTCGGAAAAAAAGAGGGCGAGACTCTGATTTTTTGTTTTTTTTTGCAATCAATTGCGATCAATGCTGTAATTTTTACACACACAAAAATGTGGTGTAATGAAAATTTCGTATTTATAAGTTTCTGATAAAATAGAGAGAAATTCTTCACTGAAACATTCACTGGGTTTCATTGAGATTTCGCACTAGTATGTGCAAATGCAATGTTTGTGTACGTAAATTGTCCACATTCTGACCATGTGCGAAAATTTCTGCAAGAGCTTTAAATTCTGTGGGAATCATTGTACACGGAATTCTCGATCTGCATCGTGTCAACCGAATAGAGTCTCATTACTCACATTGCTTTCCATGCATATCACCTCCCAGTGGAATTCCCATGGGATGCTGCACACACAGACCATTTATTTACAGCTTATGCTTTCATATTGATTGCAAAACTATCCCCAGTGCTGGGAAATTCTGTTCCACCCACAAGACTGCAGCCATAACATTTAATTTGCATATCGGAATGGAAATAAAGAATCGCCGAGAGCAACACTTCCGATATTTGTGTACCGATAAGACTTTAGAATTATTTTAAAATTTCATCGATACGTGCTGCAAACGTGAATGTTTTCACCAAAAATATATATTTTCTAAAGTTTGCATTTAGAGTCGCCTAATAATTTTAGATGCACACAGATTCGATCACTAAGAAGTGTTGTTTTGCTTTCAATTTGATAATGCCAGCAAAGGAATGGTGGAGAAATTATTGGAAAAGCTCATGTGAAATTGAAAATGCAAATAGATGGTTCCACAAATAGCAATTGAATGGCACGATATTTCATATAATTGAGATATGAGAAGGTTTGCGGTCTGTTGGAATTATGCACACATAAATTGTTTATAGGTTTGTAGAGTGCGGTAATAATTCTGCTGAAATCTTTCGCTCCTTTTTCAATGCTCTTGGCGCAATTCTAACTCAAGCTTTAAGCTATAACGAGACGACAGCAAATTGAAGTTGATATTTTAATGAATTGAGTAAATGCACAATTCCGTGTCAATTCAAGAGGGTGAACTGGAAAAATCGATTAAGTAAATTTACTTGTTACCCCGCTTCGAGGCACTCCGTCACAGAGTCCCTGTCGCCACCCACCGCATACATCATCATCCAACGTCACCCAGAAGCCACCCCCGCGCCGTCATCCCGAATGCGGTGATATATCGCTGTCCGAATTAATAATACCATCATCTCTGTGGTAATAATTTATTAAGGAGACGCCACTCTTTGCCAGGGTATTAGTCGATGCTCTTCTTGTTGCGTGTCCGGGAGAGAATTTCAAGTGGCGACACACTTTTTGGCATGACGGAAGGATGCTGTTCCGAAGGCGAGCAAAAAGGATGACTTCGGATGTTGATGACGGTAATGGTGAAAAATTGGGGACTTTGCGTCTCATGGCATTACAAGGGAACAAGGAATTACACTGACAATGGATGAAGACGATCATGTAATAGGATGTTCTCGAAGACAGTTTTTGCATCATCTCATTCTTTTCCATTTAACTACTTTTCCATCAGAAGCTCCTTACTATTGTGTGTTCAATAAGAAAATTCACCTAAAATTGATTATCAATGCAAAATGAATTTTCCCATTCATTCGCAACATAAAGCATCCACAGTCAGAGCAAAGTGCATTATTCATTCGATACTTTATGACTTCTAGACATGATTCAGTGAAGAAAACATCAAATTGAAGACTTATTTCCATTGTTATTTATGTGAATGGAAATACACCATAACAGTATGGCTGCAGCAAATAGATTTGTGAAAGAGAACCACGACAGACTTCTCCAGAATGATATTTCATGAAATGATAAAGATGAGAAGGGAATTTCAAATGAATCGAGAGCAAAGTGAGAGGAAAAAAAGGATTTTTTACACACTTCTCCACCTGTATCAGAACAAAATACTGATTTATACGGAAACATTAGTAGTACATTTAGTGTAATTTGTATTTTATTTGAATAATAAACTTCATTTCAGATTCATAATTCCACGGATTCCATTGTCGTGCTGCACAACGTGAGCCTATCGAGCACGGGAAAATACCGATGCGAGGTATCAGCTGAAGCCCCATCATTTCAGACAGTCACAGATCACGGAGACATGATTGTCGTAGGTAAGTGCCCCATTTTCCGGAAAAGAACCTTTGAAACCGCTTCTAGTTACTCTCTGTTCTCTTTCACACACTGTGTCAGAATGATTTTCATGCAAAGTATAGAAAGAGAAAACTTTCCCCTGGATTTCTTTCTACGTCAAAGACTTGAAACACATGCATAAAGATGAAAATTAATCCTATCGGAATCAATCAATATAGCTCATTTAATATTCCATAAGACGGAACTTGGAAACAAGGAAAGGAGATTGATTGCTTGTTCCAGCCACTATTCCGTATAATTTGTTGAATTCAAATTATTTGAATAGACCAAGAAATCATACTGAAAAGCTGAAATTCAATCTTCCGTCACATTTATTACTCAAACTTGTACGGAAAGTCCTGTCGGAGAAGTTTAAATGACTTTTCAAGACATTCATCTCAATACCGCATTGAGGTCATGTGGAATGTTTGCCGGAAATGAAATCAATAATTTAAATTAAGAAGCAAAATGTCAGATCAAAAAAAAACACTGCAAGAGTGCACACTTTGTGATAGCAATATAAAGAGTTGACAGCGTAAAGTAGAGAACTTTCAGATTTCCGCACTGACCCTTCGGACATTTAATAATAATAACAATAATCGTGGCTATAACTATGGATATAAAACGCGTTCATGTGGGATTTAAGCGGAAATGGCTTCGCATGTTACAATTGTGGAACTTAGCAATTCGCCCACAATGACGAAGTTAACCAATTTTGTGTGCATTTTCATTAGGTGAATATTTCAGAATATATACTCTATTGATGTCCGTTGCCACATGTATTAATTCCTGAGCTCTAACAACCCTGAAATAAATAATATTACAGTGGTGAAAATACCATCGGGTCAATTTGCATAACCAATTTCGACGACGGCATTGTTGCCAACAGTGATTTACCGAAACACATGCACGAAATATGAATCAATATGAATATGCAATAGAAAAAAATGTCTGATTCCTACTTCGGAAATGAACTCTTTTTGCAACACAATCTTCTCTAACACACTGTCCTGGGCTTTAGTTGCGAACCTGGATGAAGGAATTTGCCGGGTAGACCTTCATGGCAGTGAGAGTGTGTGACAAAATGAAATGCAATGCCGACAGAGGACTAAAAAAGGGTGTCCCTGGGATGAATATTCAAAGTGTAGTTCACTCCTGGATGCATTTCCCACTTACGCGAGTCTGAAGGGTCAAAAAGTGCCGCACAGAAAGCAAAAATGTAGATCCTGGCTCCTGTGCTATTGTTTCACTCTGAATGAGGCAATGGGGACGCCTGGTACCAGGCGTCGACACACTGAAACAATAACGCCGAAGAGCACATTCACGGTACCACGAGAATATCTACGGCTCTCGAAGCAGCTTTAATTCAGGCGACCTGATATGACAAATACTGCTGAAAGTGAGAGCTTTTTCCTACGAGAAGAAAAAAAATGTCACAAAACTGCGTGAGAAAAGTGAATAGGAGAACAATATAGGAGGTTATCTTCCTAAATTTCAGTACTAACTATAACTATTAAACATAATCATAAATCTACAAGTAATTTTTCATTTAACACAAAGCAACGCGCGTTATTATAAGTTTGCAAGGGGCCAAGTTTCAAACCCCGTGGCATTCATCTTAAGTCAACATCTTTGCCGTGTAATACAGAAGATTTTCCTTTATCCTCCACCACTCCAATTTCACCTTTCAATAGTCTCTCATATTTTTTCACTCACACATTTCCTTCACTCTTGCAGGAGAGCTTTTTCAGCCTACCAAAGCTTTACTCCCCTACATATTTCATCATTCCACCTCCACGGGCGCTGTTACACAATGGAGCCCGCGATTTTCCGCGGATAACAGTACACGTGGCCGTGGAGAAGAAAAGACTTTTCTTGCCGGGACATGTGAGAAAGCTCCAACAATTACATCTCATGGGACGAAACTTGAATTATACTTGCGGTCTTTCAGTCAAATTTTTCGCCTTCACTCTCAGGCTTCTTTTTTTCCCCTTATATAGCTTTTTTTCTGCTGAGCCACGCGGTGTGGGCGAAAGTGTAAGAAGTCGAGGAAAAAGGCAAGAAGATGGAGACAAAGGGAGCAAGCAGGGAAAAAAGAAGATGACAAGAAATAGGAAGAGACAAAAAGGCTTTTCACGTTATCATAATAGTATGAAGGATAATAGTGATGATGGTGGGTGATGATGAAAAGAGCTCGTTGGATCACACAAAATGTACTACTCGGAAAATCTCTCTTTTCTACACCAAAATATAATTGCAAATGGATGTCTTCTTTGCTGAATTCCTCATAGTTTTCCTCCCCACACGCGCGGTCGGTTTTTTTTTTCATCAGCTCCACGGTGGTTTCAGTTGCGAGATTGGAGGTGGGAAATAATAATGCAAAAAAAAGATGACGCTGAAAATATATAAAGTGTTGGTAGATCTGGGTTAGAAAGAAAGAGAAAGGTTTTCCGCTGTTTTGTCATTGTGGAGCGTTGGGAAAAAGAGGTAAAAAGCGTCAACTTTGCAGTGTGAAATGGTTAAGAGGAAGTTTGAGAAAAGTCGACCTAATTTTATTATAATTTTTATTCTTTCTTTCCACCCCTTTGTTCTCCACTGTAATTCGGCACTAATTGCGCAGTTTTCAGTTTCCACAATTTCCTTCTTTCGCCATAAAGCTTTCACATGAAGCTTTTTGCTTCTTGCACGCCCTGCGAATGTGAAAAAATGTTGACAATAAAGGCCAAAGATCTCTGCAGAATACTATCTTCAAACTTTAATAAAGACAGAATTAAAAATAAAATGTATGTTCTTCAGTTCAACTGGTAGAATGCAAAAATAACAAAGTTTCACTTCAGCAAGCAGGGCAAACAACGAAGCATGTAGAGTATATTGAGTAGTAAATTTCTTAATTAATTGCCACCCTTCATAAGCCAAAAGGGTGGAACATCCGGATAATTTTGAACGCTCCGCCGAGGATGAGTGAAATAATTTCCAATTGATGTACGTACAGCAATTACCTAATGTTCACATGATCTCCGCCCACGACAGAAGTTTGGCAGAGAATATGTCTCAGCAGAGGAGAAAATCGACAAGCATTTTCGTGATGAACAAAAGAACTTAACCAATAATGATTGTCAGACGCACATGAAATTTATCCACCTCGAATGTTAGTTACTTAATATCCATTAAATTAGCAATGGAAATGTGATACTGAAGAACAGGAGAAGGTGTTGGGGAGAAGCTTTAAGGTTGCTAATGAACATTTTCACCCTCGATGGAAAATATTTTGCCGAAAATGTTAATAACCCACCCCGCAAATGCGAAGCCTATTCATGGATATTCTATCGCTCAGCATGAACATGATGTCAGATACTGTGGAATCTTATTTCACTCACAGTATCTCTTTAATTAGTTGTTCAACTTTGACTCTTACCTTGTTCGAGACAACTTGACTCGGTATCATGTATCGATTTATGTGACATGGAGTTGTGCATGCTCTAATGGTGCAAAAGACATTGAAGAAGCCCTTTGTTAAATTGGACACTCGGGAGCATTTGGGGAAGACTTTGTACATTCAAGAACGCAAATGTATAATTTGTATTTAAATTTTTTTTTACATTTGTTTCTGACAGCGGAAAATGTGTTTAAGCTTAGCATTAAATGAGCAAAATTCAATTGCTTCTTACTGCAAAATATACCTCAACGAGTATTTCAATTTGCTTCTTCCTGCCGCACTCTAAGTGCATTTTTTCACTATTGCGCAAATCAAAGGCGACAAAATGCGAGGAGCTTTTTACAAAAGTGACGCAAAATCTTTGGTGTTGAAAAATTGTTGAGAGAGTTTGTGAAAAATATCAGAAACAGCAATGCTCTACATAAAAGCTTTGGGGAGTGCTTGTGAATGAGAAGTGGAAGTAAATGAATTATGTGTTTGCTATATCTCTCCTCAGCCTATGTAGCGTGAAGGGAAAAAAGCTCTTGGAACTCAAGCGAGAAATCCGGAATAATTTCTGTGTCTTCTGTTTTGTTTTCCTTCTCACATTTGTATCCCATCTCGGCACTGGTGAAACCGTCGAATCCCTGTTTTGTTATTATGTCTTAAATACAGAACAACAAAATAATATCTCCCAAGTTGTATTTCTGGCACTTTTTCCACGAATTCAATTTCTCTACTCTCCCCCAGTAATTTGGCTAATAATCAAACTTTCACCGTGCTTCGGAACTTCCCAACCGTATGGCCTACAAAGCGTGCGGTATATACCTACATAAAGGCCCGCATTCCCTGGGAAAAGGTGTTCCTTCAACATAATTATATCTGACAGAAACACACCGACTCACGTAAACGTGGAGAAAACACAATTCACTCATCATCATTGTCATCATGCTTCAAGAATCAATAATTTAATTTGTGTACAGAGACTCGGTGATTGAATTAATTTCAATAATATGTATGAGGGCTCGTATTAAAGCAATCTCCACGCGTGTTAGGAATTTCTTCATCGTATCATCTCAACGCCCAACTCCAGCCAATTTCTTCCACCCTTTTCATCGAATTGCCATGCACATTTCGTCTCCTCTCTTGTCCCTATAATATTGATGTAATACAGGTAAACATCTGAGGAATTCCTATGGACAAATAAATTACAAAATGAAGAGACAAGAGTGAGTTTATTCATGTCCGTTGCTACATTCCTTTCGATCGCCATATTCTAATTCGCCGATACATCAACGTCAATTGCAAGTGATTTCACCTTGCCAACAGTCAAACTGACTTGCACAAAGCGCACGCCATGTATTGAGGCCAAGAGAAAGATGTGAGCTCGTGTGTGCACTCTTCCAATGCCCTGCAATATTGACGGTAAACTTTGTTGCCCTCGCAAGAATAAATGGGGGCTGCAATGAGAGAAAAGAAGTTATTTCTGGCCATGTAATTTTGCCTGCCATCCATTTTCGCCGTAATTTCTGTGTTTGAATGAAACCCTTGAAATGATATTTCTCT